AAAGGAATAATAGAGTTCTAAAGGAAATGGTGAACTCTATGTTGTCTTACTCAGGTTTGAGTGATGGTTTCTCTGGAGAAACTGATTGGACGGGATTCCAAGGGGCAGCGCCCCGAAACCTAAACGGATTTTACATCGGATATGACTCCATCCATGCAGTTTCCCGCCAAAAATCTCTTGATGACATCTTGATGATGCATGCATTTGTTATGTCCATTAAATAACCATTTTGGCGCCAATTCTGCATGCAACCGCCATTAACCATATTTCCCTCTAGTATAAGAATGTTATCTATTTCCAGAAAATGAGTTGGAACTTTCATACACGAAAATTGTATATTGATTCATTCTATCTCTCAAGAACACAATTAAGAGGTATTAAGTGTTTCTCAATCTGAATTAGGCATGTAATTCGGATTGGTTCATTCTTGGATTATCCCACTTCTGAATTTGTGTACCCCATGCAAAAGGGACGAATTACAGATTGCGGAAAATGTTTGATAAACACGATCCTTGAATCTATCCAAGTCTTATTTGTTGTTATTTTTTACCCTTAATTTATAACAAGGACCAAGATTATGGGGACAAAAGCATAAAACTCACAACCATACAAGATCTAACATGCAAAGCATCAAGATGAAAGTTGTATACCTTCTAGAGATAGATGTTGGCTTGCAAATCCCAGATCTACACAACTTGAAGCTTCCCACTTGGTTATACAAACACCTTCTTCCTTCAAAGAGCACATAAAACTCTCTAAAAGCTCCAAAACTCACAAATAGTGACTAAGGTTTCAAAGGAATGATATAATGTGATGGAGGATGGTGATGGTGATGATTCAAGAAGTTAGAGTCCTTAAATACGGCTCAAAACCTTAGGGTTAGGGTTTTGGTCTACAGTAGCTACGCCCAGCGTAGCATAACCTATGCCTAACGTAGATCATTAAACTCACGTCCAGAATTCAGAACCTACTCCCAGCGTATGGGCTTTCCTACGCCCATCGTAAGGCAAAATTCCTAATTTCTAATTCAACTTCAGACAACTATAACTTCTTCGTTTCAACTCTTTTTTTCGGCGTTCTTTATATGAACAAAAAGGTATTGAAGAGTCCCATAATTGTATCTAGTTACTTTTGGCTTAATACATGTCAAACAAAAACCATAATCCACGCAAAAAGCCCGACATATAACTTTTCCCATTTTACCCTTCAGTTCCAACACACAAAATCAAGGGCTTAGATCTCATAACAAATATTATCAACATTTAATAAGGTATAAACTTTATTCCCTTAAATCCAAAAGCCTTTACATGATCGAATTATGGACCACGATCCTGAATTAAGAAACATCCTGAAACTGGGTGTTACACCATCCACTCAAACTCTCCCAAACATGGAGAAAACGCAAAAAGCCTAGATCTAGAAGAATAGAACATAAAGCTTGGAACTTGAACACTCACAACGGTCCATAGTAAGATCTAGAAGATGATGATGAAACTTGCAAGCTGAATCTATGCACCAAGGATGCTTCCTTCTCCTTCAAGACACCAAAAACACCACCAAAAGCTCAAGAACTCAAAAATGGAGGCTAGGGTTTCATTGATAGGGTTGGAGGCTGAAGAGGATGCCCTAAACCTTGATTTTAGGGGATTAAATATGGAAAAATCCCTAAAATAGCATGGGCTTGGGCTGTAGCTGCGGTCACATCGTGACCTTCCTTTCTTCACGTCGTAGCTGCCATCTCGGATACGCGTTCATCCAATTGGCATGTCACGTCGTGGTGCTCCATTCATCACATAAAGACAGAAGGTTTTTCCCCAAAACCTTACCTTTGATCCTTCTTAACCTCAACCGATATATTCTGGAAAACGGGTGTTACACCACTGATTAACTAACATCGAGCGTCTTTTATAATCTTGTCCGTCGGTAATCCATTAGAAAATATCGTTCGTTGGTAATCTGTCACTAAAAATGTACGTCAATATTCCATCACTAAATTATGTCAGTGATATTTAACCACGGGGCTTTTTACGACAAACCTGATTCCATCAGTATTCTGTTGGAAATGGGCTTTACCGACGGATTTCCCATCGAAAAGGTCGTCGCTAATTACCAGTTTTCTATTAGTGATATAGAATTCTACTTCAAAAATATGTATATGTGTGTATCTGTTGTTAGTTAACATGTGTGTATCTATAATATATTTGTATGTATGTAAGTATTAGTTAAACTATTAAGACATTCTAATTTGAAAATATAACATGTTAAGGCATTATACTTTGAAAAATCAAAGTCTTGATTATCATATTTATCTATTGGAACGAGGTTTAGAACCTTAACTATAACTCTAATAATTATATATGAGTACTCTTAAATAACATTATTTAAATATTTACACATTTTTAAAATGTAAACATCCTAAACCACTCATATATAACAAAGATAAAAAAAAGAAATATGGGTTGTCCCTCAGACCACATGTTGTGGTTTCACAATACATCTTACTTTTTAATGCAAACGCAGTGTCACGTCATTTTTTACCCTGTTTCATTTAGAAAATGGTCAGTCATCACTCCCTCTCACATTTTAGATTTTTATTAATAAATATATAACAAACATAATTGATTTATAAATATAATAATATTACACAAAAAAAAATCAAAAGTAAAAAATAATATATAAAAATGAAAATACATAATATAATGCAAAATAAATAAAAATATGCTTGGATTCAACTTAGATGCTTTAAACACATAATCCCTTTTCAATATGGATATGACTTGTAGATCCATCTTGACCTAGGCAACTTTATATATAAAATTAACCCACAATGCTTTGGATCCAAAATTTTCACATGTAGATCCACTTTGGATTCAAACATGGATCTATTTGAGCTAAATGAGAGGGAAGACGCGATGGTTTTCTCAAATGGCCACCCTTAGTGTGTGGATGATTTAAAGTATAGGGTGGTGTTTCCACACCTACTACAGTGCCACATGGAACCTACCTTGTCACATGAGGCGACCACACTGGTTGGTCTTATGGCATCTTCAATCCATAAAACTCTTATATAATTTCATATCATCATTCCACGTCTATACAACTTTCCTTTTAAACATCTCAAACCCATAAAACCTCATATAACTCCACCTCAACCCTATATTTATCACATTTATTTATATATTTATCAAAAATAAAATCAATACAACCATGGTATGATTCTATAATCCTAAAGCATATACCACTCTACCTCACCACCCTCTAATTCATAAAAACATTCATACAACACCCCACACCCCCATACAACCCTCATTGGAGATACTCTTATACCATTTATAGGAGATGATACCTATTCTTGTTCCTAACAATACTTAAAGTCTAAGATTAACCTTACTTGTTTCTTGTCACCTCACCATTCATTTCTACATAAAGTAAGAATATGGATGTGTATATTGGTTTGAAGCAACACAGAGCATTCTTGTACATTATACCATTCATTATAACATCATTTTTTTCTTCTATTTATTGTCTTTCGAAGAGCATAACCCGCGGGTAAACATCTACAATAAATAGAGTCCATCTACCATTTACATGAATTAGTGAAATAAAATGCCCACCATTAGATGTGAAATTCAAACCATATATCAACTTCACCACGTCCTTGGCCAGATGTTGTTGCCCCTAGGGATCAAGAAAACCCATCTACAGGACTTAAGCATAGATCCCACATCGGTATGTACATGGCCTGTCGGAACACATTAGTATGCATGGTAGCTCAAGACTGCTCTTCCTTATCTAATTCCAAAATAAGATGTCATTACCAATGGAGATCATAGGACTCCCAAAGGTCATATCAAACACGTCTAAAACATAACACTTATCTCCGTAAATATAAAATCAAGATCCAACCCCCCTCGTTTACTACTATGTCGCTTAACTGGATACACATTAACAACTTCTCAATAAAAATTTGCACGACCCATTTGACCCGAACTATTGCTTCCTTATTTCATTTATGTCTTGATTGTATGTATGTCTTCCACCGGAAAAAACACGAAAACTCGAACTTGTTTGCGATTTCCTTTTTAGGGACTAAAATCCTTTTCCTCATATCTTTTTGTTGTATGCTTACTGAAACTCTCACTACGCTACCCTCATATTCTCTTTTCACTTTTCTTCGTACGAACCAGACACTTGTACATCTCGTTATTCTCTATAAGGATAATGTCTAAGATTATCTTTGTTTGATATGCCTATTACCGGTCTGATAGTAGGTTGGGTCTAACTCAGTGAGATTAATATTTTTTGATAATACAATTAGTAGTGTTTGATTCAATCCTTAGCCTATGATATGCCTTTTATTGGGTCATATAAAAAGTTGTGTCTGACTTAATCAACAATTATCAGACAGCCCTTAGTCACATTCTATATACCAACAAGTCCATATATAGATGTATATATGGATATAAATTTTCATTAATCATAAATATTAGAATGACCAACTACTACGGTTGGTCATTCGCATTACGATGACCAAAGTATTAGTATAATATCATAAATTAAGAAACATTCAAAGGGTGATTGAACTAAACACATGATTATCAAGCATTTTGTGGACCTCATATCAAAGAAAAACTCATCTTATTAAACCATCATATTCATAATGCATGTTTTTACTAAACGATTGCGTAATTCTTATCTGAATCTCAATATGTATACGATTACGATCATTCTTGTTTTTATTCACCTTATAGCCACATGGAACAAGCTTTTATCATCTTATATACATATAGAATCTGTCTATACATACGATGTGTATGTGATTTTGGGTGATACGACAAGATTTCTTGGTTGTCTACTAGTACTATCATGATCACCTTATCATTTTTTACCACTTGTATCAATGACAAGCCTTGGATAACATCACCACTTATCTGATCTTAATTTATTAGCTATTCTACTGTCGTACAATGTTGCCAGTTTTTAAGTTATGAGTCTATTTGTTATACCGTCTTGGTATAATATGCTATTATTAAGCGTTCAGTAATCAGTATAATCATCACATCACAAGTGATAATCAAGTCATCTGCATACAAGGATAAGAGGACTCAACATGCATTTCATGTACATTTGACAAACAATGTGATAATCATGTCTGTCTACGTAAAAGGATAAGAGGACCCGACATGCACTTGTAGATTTGACAAACAATGTTGAACATACACTAGCTTTTTTTTTTTTCAAAGGTAGTAGACCAAAAAAAAAATAATCATATAACATGAAAAAAAAAATAGAATTATAAAATGAAGAAACAGGTTTATCTAGTTAGCATTATTACAAAGAGTATACAAAGTTTGGGCATGAAGTAACATAGTATAATTTAGCTAGCCCCATAAAACAAAACAATCTAACATTAATTAACCCTCCTACAAACATCATATTCCCAACACCAACAAAACAAAATTGTATTGGAAAATGGCAAGATCTAAAATCTGATTCCATGTGTATTGTATGTTGTATTAAGATAATATGTGGAATATCACACATGACACATCAGCATCTACATATAAAATCCATCAATCACCTGAAACATATCCCTTGCTTTCATAATACCTTCTCTCACTTTCCCCCTTCCTATCATTACGTTTCTAAACCCAAACAAAAAAAAATACAACCATTAATATGATAGTGTGCAAATGACGTAAATGCCCTTGGTGTAATAAAATGAAGTGAAGGGGAAAAGGAAGAAATGGAACCTGATAAGCTTCATGATTTGATACAATCCTTTTAATGATTGTGCTAGTTGTGATATCCAAAGGACTTTCCAATACTTTAAATATGTCCATACTTTTTGCAACATCATATGGATTACGATTATCCTGTCATCACACAATATCATCAACAAAACATAAGTTTCTTACTGGATAAAAAAACAAAAACTAAAAACTTTTTGGATGATAGGAGGATACCTTTTCAAAATCATCATCTTCTGCCACTGTCCCATGGACAACTAATGAGATATTAAAGGTTGTAATCTGCATGCATCATCACAACAAATTTTTCATTGCAAAAATAGAAAAAGTAAAAAAAAAATTTAGAAATTAGTTTTTACCATATCCTTTGAGACCTCCCATGGAGCACCAATGATGACCTCATCCACATAGCGACAAGCAAGAACACTTAAGCTTCTTTCATGGAGATTCATGATTGGCCTGTGTGCTCCTCTATTCACACTGAAAAACAATAATTCTTCAAATCTATCAATCAAAGGAATTCAATTCCATAACCATTTGCAACCAAACACAAGATTGGAATGGAATTCAATTCCAATTCAATTTGGAGGGTAGTGGAAGGGAAGGGTACCCAAATTCTAGATAGTGGAAGACAAAAAGTTGCCCTTGGTTGACAATATGAATATGGTAGTGGTTAATAACTTTAGGAAAATTACTCATATTACAAGTGGATAAGGCAAATAAGGTCATGCTTATTCTTATGGATGTAACTAAAAGAGGAAGCACTCCATTTTATTGGCAAAAGGCTTAATAATCTTATAATGGATAAGTCAAAATGTCAAATGATGAAGACTTCCGCTATGCATCCACTTCAATCAAGCATTATAGAAATGGGAAATCAGAAAAATATAGAGAATCTTATTTCTTATTGGTGCAGGGGCATTTTAGGCATTTGCTTAAATTTTAGTGGCTGCAACAGAGTATTATTTAAGAGACTCTTCTACCTCACAGTTTGATCTGTGTGAATCCCAACAAGTAAAAAATCTCCAAGCCCACGAGCAAGTCTTAAAATCTGTGAATACAAATTACAAAACAAAGCATACAAATTTAAACAAGGAAATATAAACTTAAATCAGTTTATATGAAGTTATGAAGTGAATTTATTATGAGAATCAGACTACCTCCACATGTCCAGCATGAAACAAATCAAAAGCACCATCTATATAAACTATACGAGCATCAGGTCCAGCAGCCTAAAGAAATACAACAATCCAAATATTATTACAACTGAAAAAAAAAACAAGAAAATACTTATTATTATTATTATTAGTATTACCTTTTCATTAGAAAACTGAACAATCCTGCGAGATGTAGGAAGAAAATGAGAGACACGGGTCCCACTCCCTGAACCTGCATCATCAAATTTCTTCTGGCCATGTCCATGGCTAAACTGTCTTTGCAAGGAAGCATGACTAGGGCTATCACCACTTGTCCTCTCCCTTACACATAGAAGCATCCTCCCTATATTTAACCAAATTTTACAAAAACTAAGATAAGTTTTTTGACTTAATCTGTTAAGTTATATAGTATGATATATATGCATACCAACAATGTCTGTGCTTGAGACTCCTTCTGTTCGTTTGATTTGCTTATATCGACCTGCTTTCTTTGCAAGGGCATATGCGTCAGTTCCATCAGGGAGAATGCAGGGATCATCTCCATGAATGATGTAATCTATGTTGTATTCATCAAACAGTTTCCTCATGAATTCTTCAGTTATGGCATATGGTGCATCTGGAATGACTTCATCTACCCATTTCACAGCACTCACCATAATCATCCTAAGATAAGAAAACAAAATTCAAAACCATATCCAACATTACAATGTGTGGTATAAGTCTATATACATATATTGATGTTCAGTCATCAGTGATAAGATTACAGACTTTAGAAACTATCATGTTTCATTCAGTACTAATCCTAAGCTCACATATAGCCATCATAATCTTGCTAGCTTGAAGAAGATGCAATCAAGATTGTAAAGGCTCCTCATTTATCATATATTGTGTTCCCTTTTAGATTTACTACTCATTTCCACTCTACTAATGATAATTAAACTATATATAAATGAAAATGCATCATTGGACAAGCACCATAAATCATTATCCATGAAAGATTTCCAGAAAAAGAGGCTGTACACCTAAAAACGTACAAGAATTTAAGCAAATGCATCAACTATATACACACTAGAAACAATGCATGCAGCCTAATTTTGAAAAAAATCAACGTCTGCATCAATCTCCAAAGTAAACAAAAGAACAGCATTGCGCCGAATGGGATCTAAGAGGAACCCTGATAAGGGACAAGGTTACCAATTCACCATGAGACCAACACATAACATTTTCACAGACAAGGTAATTTGGTAAAAGGAAAAGCAGGAATTTTGATTGAAAATGAAGAGGATGTAGAGAACCTTTCATGAAGAGGGGTAACCGGAGGGCCTTTGTTTGCAATGATTTCAGCATCGCTGACAACGCCAACAATCAATTGATCTCCGAGAGCACGTGCTTGGCGGAGTGCGTTGCAGTGGCCATAATGCATCATATCAAAGCAGCCATCCATGTATACACGAATGGGCCTCTTCTTCTTCCTCCCAACAATACTCAGAGGGGAGAGCTCCGGCCAAGCAGCGCATAGCCCCATAACCGATAGCCCTGCCACCAAACCTCCGATCAACCATGTCGCTAGAAACCGCTTCGAGTTCTCTAGACCTGTATCCGAACCCATCTTTTCTGATTCGACACGATTATTCAAGAATCTCTCTCTCTCTCTCTCTCTCTCTATTATGTGTTCGTTTTTGGCCCTTTATTCTCTACAATGTGGTTTGGCTTTTCTTTATTCCTTTCTCCTCTTTATATTCTCTCCCCTCTGGATATGCCCAAAATGTTTTTGATCTATCAAGTTTTTTCTTTAAATGTCCCAAAAAGGCAAAAAAGTATTTTGATTTTAACTTATTTTTATAAAATTAGGGTTTCTGATGTATACAAATTACAAGTAATAAGTATGGTCATATTTGCATCGTTTGTCATTTTCGTTTTAATTGCCATAATTTAATTTCTTTAAAAGTATTTATAACAAAATTAATAGTTTTATGTCGGCTATTGCCGATCAATCTAGTAATATATGTCGACTACATGTCATCTCTTTTTTTTTCTTTTTCTCTTTTCTTTTTGGCCTTTGCTTTTATGTTTTTTTTAGGAATTTTCTTTTTGTTTTTTTGTTAAACTCATTGTTTATTGGAACACAAAGTGAATTCCTTGGGGTGATTTCAAAGGTGTAAGGATGTTGGTAGTGAAGAACGTTGATAAAAAAAATTATGACAGGGAGTCCGGAAAATCGAATTCCTATTGTACGGATTGGAATCTAGAAATCGGGATGGAGGTAGAAAAAGAGACGTATGTAGGGAATGATATCAACATTTAGAAGAAGCTGAAAAAAAAAACAAACAAACAATATTTGCTGTTTGACTTTGTTCCAAAATTATAGAGGATGAAATAAACAATAAAGATGAAGATGAAGTGGAATGAAGAAGTCATGTCGATTCAAATTTGTTGTTTGGTTTTGTTCTATGTTTGTAGAGGTGGAATCAAGGGGTTGCATAAAATAAACATCGGGCGGGGGTGAAATATACCAGGTGGTGTCCTCCCTCTTTGAGGTCGAGGGTTCAAGTCATGTTGTGGACATAGGTGGTATTAGGTGTTAGATTAGGAGTAGATTTATATATTTGTATTTGCCGGTTCAAAAAAATAATAATAATAATAATCGGTCAATAATGAAATCCTATCATACATACACGCTATAAGAAGACGTCAATTGATGACATCAAAAATCTTGTCATAGAATGCAAAGGAGGTGTGGGGTTTAAGTCATATATGTTAATGGGTCTCATTGATATTTGCATGTGTTACTTTATGTGTATGATCATAACATGCTAAAGCAATACCAACTTTTAATTAATCTCATTTCCGTCGTACATGAAAAATGGGTGAACAATATGTTTATTATTTAAGTATTAATTGATCTCTTATAATATATGGTGAAACTATTTAAAGGAACAAATAACTATTATTTGAAAATTAATATATAACATAATATTATCATTTTGTTTCGATTATATTTATTTGAAACTTCCTAACATTTTAAGAACATCTCTTTTGTACCATTAACAACATAACTTATTTGTGAAATTTGTCATATTTTGTTATAGCTCCTCCCCATTTTTGGTCATGCATGCTTATTTTTTTCGATTTTCTACATTTTGCATTTGTAAATGTTCTATAAGGGAACAAAAAACCGTTGACCAAGCATTTAAAAAAAAAAAAAAAAAAAAAAAAAAAAAAAGGCATAATCAAGATTCAAGAATAGTTACAGTTACAGCTTCCTAATCGCTTACGCTTAAGTCTGTTACAACAAAGAAGACCAAATACATCACAGTTTTGAGTTTCCCTTCTAAAGTAAATCCAATTATTTGCTATCTCCATAAATACATTCATTACACACACACACACAAACCCTCCCCAAATAAATACTCTACTATAACAATCGTGAATAATAATATAATAATAAAAATAAAAAACAAGTAAGGAAAATCAATTGCCTACCTACTTTAACACAAACAAAAAAGTAGAACGCTATTCTTGATATTCCTTTCTTCTGATTCACAATTCATTCGACACCTTTACTCCCCGACATCCCTTTTGCAAAGATCATCATCTTTTTAAAATCTCTTCCATTCAAAGAATTCAACCCTCTTCTTAATTATCTTTTCTACATCAAGGATTCACATTGCAATCACTCAAGAAACGATTTTCACGATTCAAAAAACGTCTCCAGTAAACTTTATACCCTGGAATCCCCAATTCCAGCCAGGGTTTCATGTTTCCATTGAAATGTAAAACAGCGGCTTTGTTAATCGCCTCTTTACTAATTCCATAGTTATGCCCTAATCCAGATAACACCCACCTTTCATCAAGCCCAACAACTAACCCTTCAAAACTCAACAACATTGCTCCTACTCCTACTCCACTTCCTTCCCTCTCTCTCTGTCAAAAAAAAGTAACCGTCAGTACACAGTACACAATATACAGTACACAGTACACAGGACACTGACCTGTTGTAACAAACTTTGATATGTTTTAGTAATATCAAGTTCCCGCCACCGAACTAAATCGATTACATTTAACCCGGACATCAATATACAAGAATTTGGATTATATTTTTCTTTCCCAAAATACCCTTGAAGTGCACCCAATTTTACATTGCAGAATTGCAACCCACCAATGACTTTTCCGCCCATGTCAAGGCCCCACAAGGCTGATAGATCACGCTGGACAACAATGTCATCATCAAGAATCACAATTTTTTTTAAGCTTGGGAATATTTTTGGAAGGGTGTAGTGTAAATGGGAAAATACTGAGATGTATTCTGTTTTGCTTTTGGAAAGAAATGAGACTCGTAATTCTTGTGGGACCCACATGCTTCTATCGTGGCCTTGTAAGTTGAGATCTTCAATGTTTAAAACTTCTACAGTGGCGTCTTTGTAATTATTGGTGAAGAACCACATTTTCATGGAAAAGAAACTTTGCTTATCTGTCAACACATGAAACACCTGCTTCTTACTAGCCTGAAATAAAGAAAACCAATTTATAAATTTTCAATCTTTTTTCTTGCATTTAACCTTAAAAAAAATATACTTACTTTTGCATGCATAACGGTTGAATTGATTACTACAGATGATGCAAGGACATTGTTGGAAAATATGACATAATGAAGCAACTCTGGATTCAACAGAAGCTCTGACACGTCAGCATCAATGGGAGAAGTTTTAAAATACTCCACAGTGAGTCTCATTGAAAGACAATGAAGACTTTTTGGTGTTGTTTGGACTGCAAGTTGGTATAAAAAAGCACTTTGCTTCATATGGAAATTGGCTTCATCTTCTGTTAAGTCAACTAATTGTCTTAATTTTTTATCAACATTATTACAGTCAACAGTATGTGATTTTGCTTTTGTGATTGTAGTTTCCATCTTCTGCAGCTTCTTCTCAACCCTAACACCACCCACAAACCTATTTTAGTGTCCATGAAATTGAAAAAGGAAAAAACATAGAGGGGTATTTTTGTCATTTTACGTGAACTTACTGGGGTGGAAGTTCTGTGTCTGAGGAGCTTTCACTGAGGATACGTTCGAATTCTTGAATATTTTGTTTCATTTCAAGAGAGAATTGATTGAGGTTTTGAAGCTTTGCAATACTTGGATAGTAAGCTCGAGCCACATAAAGTTGATCTTTCATTTTTTTTACTAAAAAATCTTTCATTTTTTCTCTGTGTTGTTGACGCCATAGACAATAGCTCCCGAATTTTAATTCACATATTTTTTCACTTTCACCAATGACTTTAACAGTTTTAATGACTTCAGTTGATAAATCCACTTCATCATTCTGTATAATAGAATTTAAATAGAAGTTAGAAGTTAGAACATATACATATAAAGTCAAACAACTCTTAGAAATTATATAAAGAAAATGCATACAAGTCTTTTTGGAGGTGGCTTTAACACTTGTGTAGGCACAGGGATGCCTGAAATAATTTCAAAGATGAAAAGGAAGATCATAAGTGTACATCTATGTGTAGGGTGGTTATAAATCCTTAAAGAATTTACTTGATTTGAAAAGGTAAAATGATTTAGAATAAAGTTTATAAGAACAAAGATTTACCAGTTTTGTTTTCACCTTCCTTGACAGAATGCCTTCTAAAATCCTGACCAAAACAACATGCATGATAGTGAGCTAAATACTTGTGGTTACATAAGAATAATATTTGGTCTTTTTCTTACATGTGTTAACATATAAGCAAGTTAAAGAGGTATAAATTTTCCAATTTTAGTTATATGATAGGATGATAGATTGTATTTTAGGGTTTAAATGGTAAAAGACTTACTCTCAAGCAATCACATCTTAATTAATCATGTTTAGCAATACACATAAGCTCTTAAGCAAAGAACTTGGAATATATAATTTGCTCATTTTGTTTAGGGCTAAATGCAACCTACTTACACTATTATAACAATATGTGGAACATGCTTTTCTTTAACCAATATAATGTAAACATTACATATATTGGTATAAGGATGTTACATTTAAATGGTTAAATTGTACATAAAATGGTAAAAGTGGGTAGTTTGTTACATTAAAGGGTTAAAAGATTATATTTCTGGATTAGTTGAATGATGTAAGTATGTTGCATTTTTTTGAAACTGACCCTTTTATTGGACATGGTTTCTTTATTTGCAATGTAGAGCATAACTCTACACACTTATAGTTACATGGGATCCACAACAACAAGATTTTATCAAAATTTCTACCATTTAATATCCACAAGAAGACAGACATTGGTTTATTGCCAATCGTCTAATACTGATAGAACAAAAGTTGAGTATTAACCATCAAAGCAGTATGCAATGAACCTTTGGAAGACTTGGTTCAAGATTTTTCAATAGTCCATCCACACGTGATGATAGCCCTTCCTGCAAATAGAATAGCATCAGTAAACCAGAAATTTTCAACTGAAACTATATTACGTTTATGAGAATTATAGAGGAGTGACACATTGTTTGATCATAGTTTTGGATCTTTCTTTATTTGGTTTGTAGTAGTTAAACAATAAGCATTATATAACTAGAGTTAACTTCGTAAAAAGTACATTAATTAACAGGAGAATAAGGCATTACTTTGGTTATTGGTGAAGCAAAAGCTGCATCCTTTTTTGATGAAGCAGAACTCCTTTGCTCATTAGCATACCCTGTCAAAACCATGTTCCAAAGACTATGTCAGTAAGTTCGTATCCTATATTTGAAATAAAGATTTACATGTAAGACCAAGGCATGAATGCACTGCAAAGACAAATAGGATGTTGACACCGGAAATACTACAGATCTGGATTGTGAAATTTCGGTTTCATACGAAAGTAGAATAAAAATCTGACTAAACCTATGTATTTCCTTGAAGTGCGGAGCGCGCGGATCGAGAACATAAATTCTTAGCGAAAAAAAGAAGAATGATTACAGTTTAGATCTGAGTAACAAAGGTGTTAGAGTAGCAGTCTACAATGCAGCCATGGTTATGGATATTAAAAAGGACGTAGATCGAAATTGGGTGTATATAACAGCCGGTTGTAGTGCCAATGACAATTGTGTGTAATCCCTATCCTCGATCCGATTGATCTAGCAATGATACTGTTAGCTTTTTTCAGATTGGATAAGAGATACCTCCAGATGAAGAACAAATGAATGAAGAACATCACATGAAGATATACACGAGCAAATTCACTAACGGACATAGGAAGAAACAGATCTAATCGATTCTTTAACCAATCTAGGGCACAAGAAGGAATGGAAGTAACCTGTGTTAGCAACAGAGTGAAATCCGTTATGTAGACCAAGCAAGAAAGCGAGAGGAACGAGCATCGAGAGCAAAACAAGGCCTAACACTGCAATTACAAGCCAACTCCATCGCCTCTTCCCCGGCATGGCGTTGTATGATGAAATCCCACCACCCTTCATCCCCTGCCATCCCCCATCTACTTCAGTTTATTTATTCTAGTTCTAGTGATGTGATGATAGTAATAAAAACATTTTACAAAACCAACCTGGAGCTTTGTATAACTACATATTCTACCCCTTCGTTTCAAGAATTTACTTCAAACACTTGCTATGATGAAAGGAATATTAACAAGTTCATAGATTCATTTTGGACAAAATATACAGAAACTTACAACTTTAGTCATTTGCTTATTAGTCATTTTATAAAGAACTAATCACATAAAAAGCATTATATTTTAGTTTAACGGTGATTAAAAACTTATGTTAAACAACCATCTCTTTTTTAGAAAAAAGTTATATCGTGACCATTATGATTTGCAAGTGATAATCAAACCCGTATGTATCTTTTTTTGTTTTAAAAAAAATCCATATGTATTTTCAAAAAGTTCAGTCGAAACCATTATCCGTTTTTAGGGCTTATTTTAATCGAAACAAGGTAATATATCAAAATTTATAAGTTTTGTTATCTATAAACAAAAATCTATATCGATATATGTCGATGTCAAACCGTAATGTTTGATTTTTGTTGTTGAAAACCATTCAGTTTCGGTTTTATAATTTAGTTTTCAATTTGCTGGGTTGAAAAATCATTTGTTTTTTGTTTCTATAATTTAGTTTCATTTTTTTTTTTTTGGCGGGGGAGGGAGGGCCGGAGGGGGTGAAAACCCATTTGAGTTTGGTTTTTTTGTGTTGAAAACCAAACCTCAAAATTTGGTGTCTATAATAGTTTGTGAGTCCAATTTTAATATAAACACATCAACTATTTTCTATAATATAGTTTTAAATCGAATGAATTTTTAACCAAAAAAAACTAAAACTAAATCATAGAAAACCGAAAGCAAATGGTTTCTCTAAAAAAAAAGGAAAAAAAAAACAAACTTTATGGATTGGAATAGGCATATATCAATATAGATTTTTGTTTATAGACAACAAAAGATTATAAATTTTGATATATTAATTTTTTTTATATAAAAATAAGCTCTATAAACAAAAACAAAGAGTGGTCGCGATGAATTTTTTTGAAAAATATGGATACTTTTTACCGAACAAAAGAAGGGACATTATATGTTTGACAATGCATGTCATAATGTCAGCACAATAATTTTTATCCAAAAATTAATGATTTTTTTAGGATAAATGAAAATTGGGAGGTTAAATAAAAAAAATAACAAAATATAGTGTTTTTATGTCATTAATCATTTTATTGAAGAAATTATTTGATTGAAAGAGTTGATTGGAAAATTAACAAAATGTTAACGGACAATACGATGCTTTGCAACAATCAAAGCGTAATTTTTCAAATCAATGATCAAATGTTTTATGACCGAATGAAACATATTGATGTATTATATCATTTCATAATTAAAATAATTGATAAAAACGAGTTTGTTGTAAGATCAACACAAATAAAAATCCAACTGATATGCTTCTTATAAGTCATCTAATAGCCGAGTTTGACTTATGTTTGAACTTTATGGATGTTTAATAATGCAAGTGAGCCAAGAGACTTTTGGTAAGAGATGCAATTATCGTTTGAAGGTTGTTTCTGTTGTTATTTTTATTTTAAGTTTTTTAGTAGATTCAAAAATTATTAATGTTCCTTTGGTGTTTTTAGTTTTCATGTGTTAAAGTGGAGATCGTTGAAAGGCATGTTTCTAAAAGTCTAACTTATAGTTGTAAGTTAGCACCTCCGAAGATATATAGAATGTTTCATTGTGGATAAAAATGTATTGCCCAAGTCTTACATGTTGGTAATTTATATTAACAATGTTATTTAAGCATAATGGATTAATTTATTAACTAAATACAATATTGATAAACACTGAACAAGTAAGGCTAGTGCAGAGTGCATACTTGTTTGAGTTTGTTTAGAATTCAAAGTACATTGTCATTTAGCGGCGTAGCCCCTGAACCTACAGGGTCCGGGGGCAGCGCCCTTGATAGCGGGGTTAAAGGAGTGGCAACCCCTGGCTGGGTCCAAATTTAATAAAATTGACCCGGTTTTTTACCCTGATGTTGAACCTTTAGTGACAATTTATGACAGCTTTGTTACAGTTTGGAAACAATTTAGGCAATTTTCAGACACAGAGGTTATTATCCGTTTTTGGTTAGATTTCTGGTACATACAAGAACATAATATTCCATCATTCTATCTGTTCGAAAGCCACTGAATTTTATCCAATTGAATTTTCGATTTGTATCATCTAAATACTTCAAATTTGATAGTGATTCACGCCTTTTAGTAGATTCCAAACAATTGATTACCCCCATTTTCTAACATTACAATGATGCATATCTATGTGGAAAGCCTTTCAATAAATATATGATTTGCTTATTTATTTTGATTATATTTTTCTCAAAAACATTGTAACCTGAAGTGATATAATAAAGTGATTTCCGGCATCTCATGCGAATGGTTTTTCCTAGTTGGGTTTCTACGTAAAAATCTTGATGTTCTTTTTTTTCTCTTATTTTTGTTTTACATTGTTATTAGTTGTTCATATAGTTGATTGTTCTATTTGAATCATATTATAGTACCTAGTATAACGTTTGGTCTTGAAGATTGTTGTAGTATTCACTTTACTATAGATGGCTTGTGGTCGATTTGTCAAGAAATGTTAACATTTAATTTAAAAAATATAATAGATTTAGATATATTCAGTCAATTAAGATTTGTATGGGTCCATGTTAGTTTGTGAATTCAATTTAAGAATATCAAAAATTAAAGATTGAATACAAACGAGATAAAAGGAGTAAAATGTTTTTCATGTGAAAGGCATGAGAGATGGTCAACCGATCATGCTTGATATCATCTATATTCGAGGACCAGTATTCCAGGACGATGACTGTAATTTAAAAAAGGCTACATGAAAAATGTAACAATACATTCTTAACTATTTAATTATTGTAACATTTTTTTATACTATAACATTATATTTTAAACTTGGACATCATTTTTTGATATCTTTACCTAATTATCGAATTGAGCTTTCAAAATTGTATTAGACTTATAAATTTGTACTCAGTTATAGACAAAATATATTAAGGTTAACGTCACTATCATCCATCGAACTTTATGAAATTGGTTTAAATGGTCATTTCATGTTTTTTTTATAAAGACATAAAGTGAATGTCACCTGTTTATTTGATACCTTGGAATAACACGTTTCATTGATGATATGGCCTTTTGAGTGAAAAGAAAACAAAATTAAAATAAATAAATAAATAAATATATTGAAGTCACACCCAAGTCATTGTCGTGTTGGGTTTTTATTCAAAAATTAGTTTAAAAACATAAGATTTAGCAACGGAAGACTTTGATATTTTGAACAATATAAACTAGTTTATAATCAACCATTGATCATCTTGCAAAGTTTAGAAAGGAAACAACAAGCAAAGAAGAAAAAGAAGAAGATAACATTTGTAGTCTTTGAATCCTCATGGAGAGGCTTGGAAGTTTTAAAGGACTGTAAGAACCTTTGAGATACCAACAATAATCCAACTTGAAGATGATGTTTGTCTTTAAACTCTTCAACACTTAAGCTTAAAGTTCATATTCAAATTTGAACTTCAAGAGAGCAAAAATACAAACAATCTTCAAGTAAATGAATCAATAAACTAGAGAGAGGGAGAGTCCTAGATGACTTAAGATTTTCACACTCTTACTTGTGTCCCAATTGAAAGCCTTCATCTTTATATGCATAAAGTGAAACCTTGGACCATAAATCTTTAACACTTTAAGCACATTATGTCTTTAAGGTCTACTTCTCCCCTTATGCTTTATGATATGTCTTTCTTTTACATAAAATAATCAAAAGATCATAACTAGTCTAACTAGTTAGAGGATTTATAAAAGAAAGTCAAAGTTTTATAAATTATATAAACTCTCTTATAAAATATAAAAATTAACTTTCGGGATAAAGACAAAAAGTTTTTCTAGTCCAAAAGATGTACATGATTTAATAGATCATATCATATGTTAATTAGCAATATCACTTTAATATGATTCTTGAGCATACATGATTGTAACACCCCATTTTCGCATTACAATATAAACGACTAGTCACATAAATAGACGTTTTTGATAGAAGATTATTTATGATAAATAGTCTTGACAAAAGTCGTAGTGATCGTAAAAGCGAGAGTGTACATATAAGGAATGCCTAAATCTGATTTTGTATGAGGAAGTTATGATTTTTTTGGAAGTTTCAGTGCATAAATGTACGACAGGGAAACTGAAATTGAGATTGGTCGATTGTTAGGAAAAACAGTCTATACGAGAGTTGAAGATCTTGTCCATATTATCCCGTTGATATAAAGATAGTCGAAAATGGAATTCATATGAGAGAGTTATGATTTTTATACAGGCTTTAACAGTCTAAGCCTGTTAAAATTTTAACTTTAAAAATAAAATGTGAATTAGTTGACGGAGTCTAAATGAAAGATGTATATCTCGTTGTTATATACGTGTGGATATAAATAATGTCAAAAACGGAGCTTGTATGAAGAAGATATGAACTTTTGAAGAATTGTTAATTTCGCACACAAGCTGTCGCGCGCGGCGCACACTGACACACCACCTAGATTTCGCCTTGTGTCGCCCTCTGACCGGAGCTACGTCACCAACCCCGACAAAATATGTGGCGGGCATCTGTGTTGCGCGGCGTGCACCCCTACTATAAATAGAAGTCTTCGATTCTTTCATTCCTCACACTATTATAATTCTCTCCCTCTCGACTTCCTCACCCTTTTGGCCGAAAATTCTCTTTAGTTTTAAGGTTCTAGTGAAGCTCTGGAGTCCCTAAGAGCCCAGTTAGTAGAAGCTCTCGAGTTGGAGTTATGCCGGTACAATTCCCGATTTTTCGCTAAAATCCTGGTAAGTTAAGCTGCGCTTCTAGTGTAACTTATATTTATATTCGTAGTCGTTGTTATGGACATATAAATAAGATTTATAAGTAATTCCAGTTATAATGTTGATTGATTTGCTTACGAGAAAGGTGTCTAGAATGGTCACGTTGGCTTGGTTGTTGGATTTCAGAAACGCTATATGCCGAAATGATCATGCCTCCCAACCGTCCTGTCTAGTTGATCATTATTTGAAAGAACTCTCAATATTCATTAGGAATAGTGAAATATCTAGTTTTCATTATCAGGTTTTCATAAGAATTAATAAGTTATAGTATTCTAGGTTAATATCTGTTAGACGCGTTACCCGTTACGTCAGAGGAATATCTGTCAATCGTCAGAGTAACTGTCCAAGTGAGTTATATCCCTATACCATGCAGTACAATATATATATATATATATATATATATATATATATATATATATATATATATATATATATATGTATGTTAGGATATGGGGTTAATAGAGTAGAAAGTGTAAATGTGCATGTATTAGTAGAATCTAAAGTGCAATCTCTATATGCGTAGTTATTGTGATATTAGACTTAGATAGAGGGTGACAGTGGAACGGTTAATGAAATTGGGAGCCTATAGGCCCGCGTACATTTAGTTAGCGGATGACGGTGGAACGGTTAAAGAGGTCGGGAACCTAATCCAAGATACACACTTTATTGGCAGATCGTGAGGCATTATATGTATGCATGTATATGTATTGAAGTATATGATATTTTGGGGAACTGACTAAGCTTAGGGCTTACCCAGTTCTTTATAAATGATTTTCAGGTACTCATGTGAATGACAAGGTTCGACTGTACACACGTGCATTTGTTACATGTTTCCGCACAATGTAATTACACTCTGATATATCTTAATAAATAAAAATGAAAAAAATAGGGTTGAAAAATCGGGACCTTACAATGATCTTTCACGTCGCTCTCCCTCTTTCAACGTTTCTTTCTTCCATAGAAAATCTGAATGTTCATCTTTGAAAATCAAAAATGGAACCCCAAAAAAATTTCTTCAAGTGTGTGTGTATGTTCAAGAATCTATAACATGTATGTGTTCAAGAATACGGAACAAAGTCGATTTTTAACTACGAATCTGGATCCCTGAATCGATTTCTTTATAATTTTTTAAGGGGTTTCTTTAACGTGTATGTGTTTAATAATATGGAACAAAATTGATTTTGACCCACAAATCTAGAACAATTTGTTTTTAACCCAGACCCAAACCATCATTTCTCTACCTCGTATTGTGTTTCTTTTGTGAGGTGGTTGCATCTGATTGGCTTCATAACCGGGAAAAAGCTCTATATAATTGTACATGGAATAGATAAAGAAGATGGATGAAATAACTCACTACAACATCAAGACTTCCCGAAGCTTTGGTTTTCATGGCGTCGTCAGATTACTCACTTAACTACCTATGGTTACCGTGTGTTAGCACCCGACCTTCGTAGTTATGATAATCTTGACACCTTATTCTCCCCCTCTTTCTTTCACCATCTTTCACAACGTTGTTGATCAAATCGGTGTTCTAAATCACTTCAATCAACAACAAGACCTCTCTCAAACTCCTATCTATGCTTTAAGGTGATGAAGCTTTAACATTAAGGTTGGGTTTCCTATGTGGTACTTCCATTAATGACTAGATAAATATGTGACACTCGAAGACTTTTTGACTCCCGAATTTGGAGTACCCTACTTTCACACAATTCATAGGGTTCAACAAGCAATCAATATTTCACGATCAATGGTGTAATACTCTTTGGAGTAGCGTCTATCGATTTCGCCATATCCCCCTTTTTTAGATGAAAATCTCATTGTGATCTCGTTCCCCTTTTTCTTTCATTTATACCGAAACCGTTGAATTCATTAGATAGATGTTGAACCGATCTTACCTGGGATCGCAAATCCCAAATTTGTCTATGAAGAGCGGATCTAATTGTATGTATTAGTATCTATAATTGATTTATTTTGTGTAATACTAATCGATAAGGTCTCATTGGTAAATGGGTAACCGTATTACCCCTTAAAATTTTTGAAAATGATCATTTAAATCGGACAAAGTCCACTTTTATGTTCTTATAAAGCCAAGAAAGAAAAAACATGAATAACTATTTGAACTAATTTTAAAAAGTTTAACGTGCAATATTGACATTAACTCAATACCAAAAAATCAAAAAATCAAAATAGAATAGTGAAGAAACAAATCAATAAAATACCATTACCGTATTTTGTATTTTACCTGATTAAAACCCAAGGTTTTAAATAACGTGAGGCGTGGCTTGGCGGCAAGATAAAAGTTAAGCCATGACAAGCATTGGCGAGCCATGGCGTTTTTCAAGGCGTGACTATTATATATATATTAATAGAGATAAATCATATAATTATTGATTTTTATCAAGCATATCAAGTTTTTAGAAGTGTTCTATTAGTATTTAATATAAAAAGTTAGCAAAAACTCAATTATTTTAGGCCCGATAAAATAAATCAAAAAAAAAAAAAAAAAACTCGCGCCTTGAAAAAAACTCGTGTCATATCGCGATAAGGCGCGCCTTGACACGTTATTTGGACGTCACGCTTAACAAACCCGCCTTGGACGTTTTCGTAACGGCTACACCACGCCTCGCGCCATGGCGCGCCTCAAAGGCGCGCCATGGCGCGTTATTTAGAACCATGTTAAAACCATTTAAAGATGCCTTGGATAATTTAATTATTTTAAGGACATGATCCATAGTTTGTAATTTTCTTTTTAAACTATTGTGTTTTAATAACTAAATTTAACTGGTATAGTGATATATAGAATTATAGATAATAGATAATGTGACATTCAATTTGTTCAAACTTTCCACTTTCTATATCCCTTTGTCGAGATATTTTGCAAAACCCTCTCCTCTTCAATCTTCATCACTGAGAAATTGGAAACCCTCTGCAAATCCATTCCTCCATCGTAATTGACCACAATGCTACTCGCAGCCACACCCTTTTCGTTCTATGCTCCGTCAAAGCCTCTTTCACCTGTACAACGCTCTTCTCCCCTGAAAACAAGAGATTTTGCTTCTATATTCTCCACCCCTACCCAATCCCTAGCATCCTCACTTCAATCGCCGTCAAGAAGATTGCTTCCTACTCCACCTTCAGGAAAATATCTCAGAGAAGACTATCTTGTTGTATGTTTTTTATTCTACTCCCCACTTCATATCTGCTTCCTCTCGTGACTTAGTTTTGTTCTTTTCGCTTAATTTTGTTGATTGTATGTGGGTTTTATCTGTAATTGCTGAAACCCTATCATAAATACCCTTTTGAGTTGAAAATTCATATGGATATTGTAGCAATTATTCACATCAGTTTTTGTATTTATACCATATGTCATATGTTTCACTCTTAGTTAACCAAATTTCCGCAGAATTCTTACAGTTGACTCCATTTTTCAATTTCAATTTCAATTTCAAGTTCAATTGTCTTACCTTTGTTTAGAAATGTCGAAAATATGCATTCTGCAAATTTCTGGCTTCTCTATTTTGAAGCCCTTAATGTAGAGCAAATAGAGAACATAAAATGAAATTTGATTGGTTTATCTGGTTGCATATTTTGTCGACACTACAGAAAAAGTTTTCTGCTAAAGAGATTCAGGATTTAGTAAGAGGAGAAAGAAACGTGCCATTGATAATAGACTTCTATGCGACATGGTGTGGCCCTTGTATATTGATGGCTCAAGAGCTTGAAATGGTAATGCCTATCATTTTCCATTTATTTATTTCTTTTTTCTTTTTACAACTTTAGAAAGTAGTGCAGATCATATAGGATCAAACACAGTATGCAGAAATTATGCATATTTTCTTGGATATAATTTTTTTTAGAACAATCTTACAGCTTGCAGTTGAGTATGAAAGCAATGCCATGATAGTGAAGGTTGATACAGATGATGAGTATGAATTTGCAAGGGACATGCAGGTAAATTCACTTGCTTCATCATTTTTATTTTTGATGAAGAAAATGTATATAATTTTGTAAAATGGTTGTTATAGGTGAGGGGTCTACCAACATTGTATTTTATAAGTCCTGATCCAACCAAAGATGCCATAAGAACCGAAGGAGTCATCCCAATTCAGATGATGCGGGATATTATCGACAAAGATATGTGAAAAAAAAAATCAAAAAATTTTAGTTTTGTATGATTTGAAAAAGATAAATTAGTAGGTTTAGGTTCTTATTATGTTGTTTTAATTAACTTTTGGGATTACTTAAGTTGTTGCAATGTTAAGGATGAGTTTGTCTTATTCCCTATTTTGTCATTTAAATTTTTGTCAAATGCATAAAGTGTAAAGTTGGAAGAGTTGGAGCTGGTAAAAATTGACATGATCAAAAACTAGAAACGTAGAAAGTTCCAAAGCCGGCACAAGGTTATATATTATATTTATTTCCCCATAATAGATAATATTGACTTTTACAAATGACATTAGTTCTATTGAATTTTGAAATTGATTTGTTAATTCCATTTGTTTATCTAGGCTTGAGGTTTGAGTATTTGAAAAATGATAGTTGAACTTTTTTTAAGTACATTGAATGATAAAATTGATTATGTGAGCCGATACCCACTTGTATTAGAAAAGCTTAATCTTATATATGGATAAATAAATACATTAAATAGATAAGATTTTTTTTTAAAAAAACAAAATATCATTAAAGTAATAATATTTTGTGAAAACAGTTCTGGTTGTTTACCTCTTGTAGTTCTTTATAAAATAAACTAATATATTATGAAAAATAAAAACAGTTTTTTATCCATGTATAAAACCCAAAGGAGTGGGTACAGGAAGACCATACATGTGCCACGGTGGAGCATTAGAACACCGCCCCACTACCGTGGTTTCCAATGCGGTTTGATCGCGTGCATTACCCTTTGGCCGCATTCTCTCTCTCTCTTCCCAACCTTTGACCGATCAAAACTTTTAAAATTCGATTTTTTATTACCTACAAATATAACTTTACAACCCTTAATTTACCATTTATTCATCCAAATCTTCTATCTTTTAACTTCTTTTTTTCAAAACTTTCAAAACGTCTTCCAACAACCCAAACAATCAAAAAAACACTCACTAGAAACACCACAATCCCAAAAAATTTGTATGATCAACCGACTTATTCCCCCCGGTTTATCACTATGGTGGTATGCTGCCATATTATCCGCACCAATTCTCACAATAATCCCACAAAAATACGCACAACAATACTCACAACCACAACCACCAACACAACCACAAAACGATCCCGAGTTTAATCCGTTTGATTTTTTGTCCCGGCCAGAATTTGTTCAAGAAACTTAAACACCCATTTCTAATTCCGAAGCCAAGTTCGTTCGAGAAACCAAACTCACTCAAGCACCAAGTAAAAGAAAAGAGAAGGCTGCAGCCAAAGAATGGGAACCCTAATAAGTGTTAGTATTGGCACAATCTTGGATCGATATTTCAGAAGATGCAAAGACATGAAAAGACCAAAAACATGACCGTTTTTTTATGTGAGTTACAAAAAGGTTCCACAAAGGAATGAAACTTCCAGAGTATCGTTCAAAACACTAAAGTTACTCCAAATGGGGGAAGACAAACAAGGAATTCATGTTGTTTAATGATTTGTATAACAACATGCAATGTCAATGGAAAAGCGGAGAAAAAGATGAAGTGATTTTGAAGAAAGCTCTAAAAGTGTACCAAAAAGAAAACAAGAAGGCTTTCAAGTTTCTTGACTTTTGTAATCTTGTGAAAGATAATCAAAAATGAAAAAATAGCAAAACATCCGAAGAGCATATCGATAGTGGTTCAAAACGCTCAAGAATATCTGAATCTGACTACACTATATTTGATGCTCGTGTTGGTTTCGACCTCAACGATGGTGAACCCGTTCAAGTTACACCACCTTCCTGACCAATGGGAAGGGACAAAGCAAAACACAAAGACAAAGACAAACGGTAGATTCATATGATTTGAAATATATGGGGGACGATGTGAAGGGTATAAAAGAAAGAATGGACAAGTATTTGCAAATTGCCTCTGAAAGAGAGCTAGGAAACAAAGAGACAGTGACATGAAAATACTAATGCTAGACATAACGAACATAAGTAGAGAAGAACTTGAAATTGCTTTGGCGATGAAAGCCGACGTCAAAGAACTTTATGCTAAGTAGGTTTGAAAATTTCTAGCTACTTTTAATCGTTTGGTGTTTTTTTTAATCGTTTGAAAATTTCCAACTCCTAGGGTAAAAGTCCATTTTACCCTTTCCTTAGTTGGTCCAATAACCAAGGCCCAACCCAATAGCTCCAAAAGCCCAATATTGCCCAAAATCCTAAATGACACCCAAAACCTAATATGAGTCGAATTCAAGAAGACCCAATGCCAAAATAATAGCCTAGAGTCCATAAATGATCTAATGTTATAGAAGTTTAGGGTCCAAGCCCAATCAAAACAAAGCCCAAATAATCCAAGCCCACAAACTTTAACGACCCACTAGTTAGCGTACGCTCAGTGTACCTGGTTCGTACGCCTTGTGTACGCGATTGATCCGGAAACGGGGCTCGCACCCAGTACGCCCAACGTACTGGCCTGACTCTAAGTTCTTGCTCAAAAGTCTTAACCACTTAAGAACTTAACATCCAATCCTCAAATTAACTTCATATTAAGGCCTTAAACCATAAAGTCGAAGACTTTAAGCCTTTGCATGGCTAAAAACACCCCAAAGTCCAAATCTAGCATTTAAACTCCATTAAGAAGAACATCAACCTTCCATGGTTAAGCTAAACCCATCAAGCTATCATTTTTATGTACATGGGACCTCATAAAAGCCTAGATCTATCATCTCAAGCTGTTGGAGTAGCTCATACTCCCAAGCAAGGCTTAAAGGACCCAAAAATGCACAAATAAAGCCCTAAAATAGATCTATCATAAGGAACCATCAAGTTAGGAGCTTTATACCTCAAATAAATTGCAAAGTTGATGAACATCCTGGATCTTCAAGCTCCAAGTCCTCCAAAGCTTCCCCACCACGATTCACTTCCTTAAAGGGGCCCAAAAACCACTGCAAAATCACACAATTGCTCACAAACACTCACATGAGGCTAGGGTTTTGTTCTTAGGGTTTGGAGAAGTGGAGACTGGCCACAAGATGTTCCAAGTCAACATAAGTTGATTAAATAAGGCACAAACCCTAAAAATTAGGGTTTGCCCCTACTTAGTTGTAACACCCATAAAATTCATGAAAATTTAAACTTTTTTAAAACCAACCAGAAATCATATTTGTTTACAATATAGTTTTCAAAACATGTTTAATATCAGAGTTTTTCCCAAAATCGTAACACAAAACACGAGGAAGTGCACGATCAAGGCTTTGCCTTCCCGCGATCATCTGAGGTACCTGAAACATAACCCAAAACTGTAAGCCCAAAGCTTAGTGAGTTTCCCCCAAAATACCACCACATAAACATAATAACAAACAGCATGCATACAGAGCCTTCAGTCTGATTGGACCGCCTCGTAGGCGTACATACTATCTGGACTGCTCACAGAACCTTCAGCATGACTGGACCGCCTCACCGGGCCTTCAGCCTATCTGGACTGTTCTCTGGGCCTTCGACCTGACTGGTACGCCTCTTAGGCCTGCAGTCTATCCGAGACGCCCTGGGTCTTTTAGCCTTCAGTCTACACTGGTCCGCCTCAACCCAAACCACTCCTTAGTGCTTACGACTTACAGCCGGCCCGCACCGGGTATCTTGGCCTACCGCACAAAACAGGACCGCCTCAACCCAAACCAAACACAATATGTCGACATATAAGCAATCAGGATCAAGTAGGCACATAATACATGAAAACATCAATCATACAACTCACTATTGCCTAATAATACTCTCACAACATACAATCCCAATATCAGCTAACCCCCATAGAATGCGTAACCATAAGTAACTAGAGGTGATATAGCCATCCGAACAGATGGTCCTACTCTAGAGCCACAACCAAACAAGGAACAGGAAATAGAGCCTAGACCAAGAGTTCTCAGGTTATCCTACATGACCACCGACAGTCCCTAAGGGCACTTCATAGATGATAACCAGCAAGCACATATAAGATACAGTTCTACAGGTTATTACCATATAACAGCATACCCGATACCAGAACACAGATCTAACATATCACTACAGCATAGCAGAATACTCAATAACAGAACACAGATCTAACATATTACTACAACATAGCAGCATGCTCAATACCAGAACACAAATCTAACAGATTACTACAGCATAGCAGCATACTAAATATCAACAATCTAAGGAATGCATGGTTGTATATACTCAGAGGTGAGATAGTCACCCGAAAAGGTGATCCTACTCTAGAACCACAACCAAACAAGGAATAAGTAAGAGAGCTTAGATCAAGAGTCCTCAGTCTATCCTACATGATTATATATAGTCCCTAGGGCATCCCTCTACTAGCAGATTACCAAAACTAGTGGACCGGCATTGGTGCCTTCGACCCACGGGTACAGTGAGGCGAAACTCACCTTGATATGCGCGTCAATACCCGATCACAGGTCATATTCACTTGCAACGAAGAACTCTACCAACTTCGACTCACTTCCAATCACCTACAAGAAGATGCTTGAATCAATACCCGATCATAGGTCTTAGTCACTTGCAACAGTGACCACCTCACACGAAATGACGATTAGGGTTAAGTAAGAACACTTAACCCATTAAGGACTTAATCACTTAAGGGTATGACTGATTAAGGTTTGACTTAGTCGTTCTCGGGTGAAATAATATGTAACGCCCTGTTTATTTAAATAAATTAATAAAATGTAAGTTTCGGACTAATTTGTGAAGAATTTTAGAAGTCGGGGATTAAAAGTGTCAGTTCCGGATTAGTCTTGAAAGTATTTATGAAGGTAAGGAGCACGTGGTAAATTATCGGGACATAAGATGGGTAGATTATGAGAAGCAAGGGCTAAATGGTAATTCTGGACTCCATTGTAAAGAGTTTTGAAAGCCAGGGTTTAAAAGGTAACATATGGACTTTATTTGAAGAATAATTTGTAAGGAGGGGGTTGAATTGTAACTGTGGGACTAGATATGAAAGAAATTCTGTGAGCAAGGGTGGGAAGGGTAAGTTATGGTCCTGGTTTGAAAGAAAAAGAGAAAGGGAGGGCTGATCTTGACATTATGGCAAACTTTTAGTGGAGACGGGTATAAAACTTCACCACCGGCCAAACCCTAACCCTAGCCTCGCTTACAGCC